GGGTTCGGGTTCGGGCCTGACGGTCTTTTGGGCGACGAGCTACATGTAGAAAAACCAACCAACAAACCAACCACCCCCAATACCAGATAAAGGGCACGTGAGAATTTGCCATCGTTGCCTAAGCACTAAGCCGCTACACCCTAAACTCCTAAATGCTTTCGGGGTGTTGAAAGCGGCGACGACACCCTCGTAAAGGAACCTCACATCCCTAGACCCTCAGGTACCCTAATCCCTAAACCCTAAACCCGAAACCCTAAACCTGAAACCCTGTTTCAGCGTTTGAGGCTTGAGGTTTCCTCCACCTTAAGCCTTAAGCCCTAAGCCCTAAACCCTAAACCCTAAACCCTAAACCCTAAACCCTAAACCCTAAACCCTAAACCCTAAACCCTAAACCCTAAACCCTAAACCCTAAACCCTAAACCCTAAACCCTAAACCCGAACCCCCCATTGCTAGGACACCGGCTCGTCGTAGTCAATGTGGCCATGACCGCTACGATCGGCCTTGGAGGCTTAGGGTTTAGGGTTTAGGGTTTAGGGTTTAGGGTTTAGGGTTTAGGGTTTAGGGTTTAGGGTTTAGGGTTTAGGGTTCTAAGTATGGGCCCTTAATTGGGTCCCTTCTTAGATAACCCTTCTATACACTACATACATTACAAGGGCCCATACTTCGGGTCCCTATAAGGAAGGGTAAGGGACAATGCTAAGGGCCCATGCTTCCAACCTTAGAACCTTAGGGCTTAGAAAAGTGTGGGGTCGATGGGGAGTCCGTGGTACTGGGAAACGCTGCTAAATCATCCCCACCTACGTTCATCTAAGGTACTGGTCCTGAACCCGTGAACTCTAACCCCCAAAATCTTAAACCCCAAGCCCCGATTACAACTTGCTCTCCCCTACATACATTGCGCAAGATGATGATGATGATGATGATGATGATGATGATGATGATGATGATGATGATGATTGACCATGCAGAGAGTGCAAGGTCTGACGGGTTAGGAGAAAACTCCCGCACCCTAAGCCCTTAAAGCCTTTGAAGCCCTTGAAGCCCTTACAACCCTTAAAGCCTGTTCAAAACCCTTAAAGCCCTAAAACTGTAGAACTCTTAGAGCCCTTGAAGCCCTCAAGCCTTTGAAGCCCTTAAACCCCAAATAAAACAACCCCGAAGCCCTGAAAGCCCAGATAGGGATGCACATATATATATATATATATATCTATATATATATATGTACATATATAAATACATAAGTCTAAATAGATAATACATAATATATATATATATATGTATATATATAGTATATACATTACCTATACCCTTGTGGGCTGCCAAATTCATCATTTCCCCCCCTAAGCCCCAAACCTTGAACCCTTTAAACCCCCCTCAAACATCTGGGCCTCCTTATACTAACAGTCCATGAGTCCATCAGAGGGGATGATCATACGGGCACCATAAGCCCTCTTCAGGACTGTTAGCTTTAAATAATAGGGGCACCACAATCCCTATTCAGGACTGTTAGTTTAAAGAATAGGGGCACCACAATCCCTCTTCAGCACTGTTTAAGGGGGAAACATCCCATTTTGAACCCCTTAAACCCTTCAACGTCTGGGCCTCACGAATCAGCTCTTCCATCTCTGAGCCATCAAAGTGCTCGCCAAGGACCTTGGGCTTTTTGGGGCCACGGTTTAGGGTTTAGGGTTTAGGGTTTAGGATTTAGGGTTGATATGGCTCTTTATAGGGTTCTTTCTGAGCTTTCTATATCTAGGGCTTTATAGGGCTTGTGTAGGGTTTTTAAAGGGTTTGTATAGAGATTTTGTATAGGGTCTATAAGGGTCTAGATGGTTTATAGGGTTTATAGGCTTTGTGGGTTTACAGGGCTTACAGGGTTTACAGGGTTTACAGGGTTTGTAGGGTTTATAGGTTTTATAGGGTTTTTAGGGTTTATAGGGGTTGGGGTTGAGGGTGACACCTCCCAGATGTGCAGCATCTGGGCTCCAACTAGCCGAATGCACCTGTCCAAGCCGTAACCCTTGAGGTTTAGGGTTTAGGGTTTAGGGTTTATGGTGTAGGGTAGAGGAACTGTCCTGCTTACCCCAAAAACCCGGAAGGGAATTCACATTTTAGTGTATTGCATGGGCCGTCGAGGAAAAAAAGCCAGAACTAAGGACAAGGGATTTCTGACGTAGGGTAAGCTCTATAAGGGGGTTTCCGAAATTAGGGGTCCTTATTGTAAGGGGATCCTACTATTTGGGGGTCCATAATAGAGGTCCCCTATCTTCGAAACCCCCATAAAGCTTCCAGAAGTTGTACATAGTTCCTATATACCTAAGTAGCCCCTGAATAACCCCTAAGGTCCCTCCTTTAGTCCCTTGGAAGCTCTATAAAGCTTCCAGAAGGGATATAAGCATACAATGGGTTATCGATGGAGTCTGCGCGGGGGTAAAGTGGGGCAACGGGGCACCTCGGCTTGAGCCTGAACACGAAGTGTACTTAGGATTTAGGGATTTAAGGTTTAGGCCTCAACTCCAAAAACCCTAAGCCTACTGGCTCTCGGTAGGGAAGGCCCTTCAAAGGAATATATGGGGGTACCTCATTCCCTACTAAGAATCAGTAAGTAAAGTCCTCAAACCCTAAACCCTAAACCCTAAACCCTCTGCCCTCCAGACGGAACTTTGCGCCCGACGGAACGCAAGTTGTCGGAAGTTATCGTGCCAGACCTTGGCCGCTCTTGGAAGCCAAGTTTACTGAACAACAACAATGCACATAAACCCTTAAACCCAGGGTTTTGGGTTTAGGGTTTAGGGTTTAGGGTGAATCCTGTCACCCCCCCCAGACCCCTAAACCCGAACCCCGAAGCCCGGAATGCCGACACGCAAGCCACCCCCCCACCCCACCCCCCGCCCCCCCTTTGAGGGTTTAGGGTTTAGGGGTTAGGGTTCAGGGTTTAGGGTTTAGACAAACACCCCTTAAGCCCCACGATCCCAAGAAGCTCTAGACCCCTAAACCCCCAAATCTTAGGCAGGCTGCAACCCGAGGGCGCCACGAAAAGCGGCACATGAAACAACGAAGCAGTTTGGGGAGTGAGGGACTGAGGGCTCAGGGGTCAGGTTTTCGGGTTCAGAGTTTAGGATTTAGGTAACCCTAAACCCTAAACCCTACATAGGGGAAGGCTCGCTCCAAGTAACATTAGGGTTTGGGGTTTAGGGTTTAGGGCTACGAGCAGGTGCTCAGATCAAATTTCCAAGCCTGCGTTGCAGCCCACAAGCCCATGCTCCACTTACAACCCAGAGAACCCTAAACCCTAAACCCTAAACCCTAAACCCTAAACCCTAAACCCTAAACCCTCTCTGGGGCTTTAGAGACATACCGGCTCAGCTGCCAGGGGAAGAGCCAACGTTTTGGGGGTTTGCGAAAATCAGGGACCCCCAATATAGTCTCCCAAATAGTAGGATTCCCTTATAATAAGGACCCGAAAGATGTACCCCGAGTTTCGTAAACCCCCTTTTGGCTTGCGAGTTTTTTCGTATCCAATATGTCCCAAGGTTGCCTAAGTAGGCTCAGCCGGTGATTTTTTTCAGGAGCCACTGTTGTAGCGCTGCGGGTGGCGCTGTTGCTGCTATTGGGTTTAGGGCTTAGGGCTTAGGGTTTAGGGTGCAGGGTTTAGGGTTCAGGGTTTAGGGTTTGGGGGTTTGGGGCTTAGGGTTAGGGGTTTGGGGTTTAGGGTTTTTGGGGCTTCGTAGTCGCAACCTGCAACAGAAACAACCCTACGGCACTGGAAAACCGCGAGCCAAACTCAACCCTAACCCTAAACCCTAAACCCTACTAGGTACCTTTCTTTTCTTAGCTAGGGTGCTCTCAGAAAGGAAGGCGGGAACCTCAACAAAAGGACAACTCACAAGTGTCTTTAGGGTTTAGGGTTTAGGTCTTAGGGTTTGGGGTTTCGGGTTTAGGGCTTAGGGCTTGGGGATTAGGGTTTAGGGACCAACAGTGACTCCTTGTGAATGCTCGTCTTTAAAGCGGGCCACGGTCTCTATCAGCTGCGTCAAGAGATCCGCCAGCCTCATCATTTCTTTCTTCACTTCTTTGTGGTACTCCATTTGCGTGTAGTTCATCTTCTCTCAATCGTGTTTCTCAAAATCTGACAGGTTGTGCCTGTGGACAGCCAAGGTGCTGTGGTGGTAGACACTGGACCACATGTGCAGAAAGCAACCGAGATGCCCGTCCAGATTCTAGCTCTGGACCTTGGAAGGCCCCGTCAATGGCAGCAATCTACTGCAGTCCACCAGGCTGAGATCAATGTCCCCCATGTGCAACTCTCTTGTAGATCTTCGGATCTCCAAGCCCTAAACCCTAAACCCTAAACCCCAAACCCTAAAGGTTTTAGGGTTTACATGCTCCACCCTTAGACTCATGGGTCCAACGCCCTTCACGCCATAAATCCCAATCCCCCCAAACCCGTACAAGCCCTTTACACCCATTGTGTGAAGACATTTAGGGCCTGTAAGGGTTTAGGATTTAGGAATTAGGTTTTTGTTGGGTTTTAGGGCTTAGGGCTTAGGGCTTAGGGTTCTAGGCTGCCCAGTAGCCTAGGCTTAACAAGGGTGCCCTTTTTTGCTAAAAGGGGTTTAAAAGGGAACCTAAACCCCCAAAAAGGGAATAAGGGTACTACTGGGCATCCTAGGGTTTCGGGAAATCCAACCCCTAGATTCCCTAAACCTACGAGCCCAAACCCCACTGCATGCCTCGACCTTGGTCCTTAAGCATGGCATGGCGAGAAAAAGGCAGAGCAAGAGACAACCCTAAACCCTAAACCCTAAACCCTAAACCCTAAACCCTAAACCCTAAACCTTAAACCTCAAACCCTAAACCCAAACCTTAAACCCTAAACCCTGAACCCTACACCCTAAACCCTGAACCCTAAACCCTAGCCTTAAACCCTAAACCCTCAACCCTGAACCCTGTACACAAAACCTTAAACCCTAAACACAGCCGAACCGGGCACCCGGACTCCGTCTTGTCAAAGCGGCCGAAGGTTTTGCGGAGGAGGTCCTGATCGGAGGGACGTTCAGGTCGTTTCTCGCGGGTTTAGGGTTTAGGGTTGAGGGGTAGGGTTTAGGGTTTAGGGTTTAGGGTTTAGGGTTTAGGGTTTAGGGTTTTAGGGTTTCAGGGTTTAGGGTTTAGAGTTTAGGGTGTTGGGGCTTTAGGTTTTTAGGGTTTAGGGTTGATCTAGGGTTTAGGGTTTTAGGGTTGAGGGTTTAGGGTTTAGGGCTAGGGTTTATAGGGCTTTAGGGGTTTAGGGTTTAGGGCTTGGGGTTTAGGGTTTTAGGGTTTAGAGTCTAGGGCTGAAAGGGTCCTCTCAGGGTTTCTGTCATAAGGCGGCCCCTGATATTTAGGGTACCCACAAAAGAGTTCAGGGTTTAGGACTTATGGTCAAGGGTTGAGTTCAGGGTTTAAGGTGGCTAAGCCCTGACCAGCAGTACATGATAGTGCAGGGATGGGGTTTAGGGTTTTTTGATAGGTTTGGGGGTTTGGGGTATGGTGGGCTTCAGCGATGGCTTTTCGGGTTTAGGATTTAGGTTTGACTTGACTCTAAGCTCTGCGCCTGCCAGTGGTTTCAGGGTCTAGGTTCAGGGTTTAGCGTTTAGGGTTTAGGGTATAGGGTTAAGGGTTTAGGGCTTAGGGTTTGCAACTACACAGGGCAAGGATCTCGGTATCTTTACTTGTGGGTGCGCTGAACGAACCTAAGCTCAACAGTCCCAAAACCCTAAACCCTAACCCCTAAACCCTAAACCCTAAACCCTAAATCCTAAACCCTAAACCCTAGACCCTAGCCCTAGACCCTAAGCCTTGGTTTGAACGAAAGCACATCCCGGAAAAGCCTCAACCCAAAGAGCCAGCATGTATGGCTCTGGCTCTGGGGCTTAGGGTCTACCTGGCCCCAGATGACCTGCTGTGATTTCGGCTTAGGAACCCTAAGCCCTGAACCCTGAACCCTAAACCCTAAACCCTAAATCCTAAACCCTAAACCCTAAACCCGAAACCCTGAACCCGAAATTGGGGGGCTTGGGGTTGCCAGCGTCTCCTCGTGCACGCGCACGCGGCCGATGAGCGCCGCGGCAAGGAACCTGAGATCGGACAGTCGATTTAGGCTTGAAGGCATGGTTTGGGGTTTAGGGTTTAGGGCTTAGGGTTTAGGGTTCAGGGTTTGGGGTTTGGGGTTTGGGATTTAAGGTTTATAGGGTTTAGGCTTTGGTGTTGGGGTTTAGAGTCTAGGGTTTCGGGTGTGGATAACAGGGTTTTCTTGGTGGTTTCGTGGGAATTGACTGTTTATAGGGTTAAGGGTTAACAGGTTTAGGGTTTAGGAGAATCTCAGCGCAGCCCCAGATGACATCGACCGAAGAGGGCATCTTTGTCAAAGCAAGGAGGCCAACCCAAATTCCTCAAAGCGACAAATGTTTAGGTTTTCGGTCATTCTCAAGTGCGTACAAAAACTTAACCCTAAACCCGAAACCCTGATTTGGGGAACAGATTCAAACTTCGGGATTTCAATGGGGCTTGCAACAAGGCTTGGTGCTAGGGTTTCTCGTTCAGAAATTTAGGGATTACACATTTCTTGCTTGTCGCTACTGCCAGGAAAGCCCAAATCTGATTCGGACGGTAAGGAGGGGGAGGGGGGCCTAAGCTCGAAACTCTTTTCTGGTTGATTGGTATATTGGCAGAAACCCTACACCCTAAACCCTAAACCCTAAACCCTCCAGTCCTCCTTGCAGCCCCGAACATCTTAAACCCAGCGAAGACCGGTCTGGAAGACAGGTCTGGCACAGATTGGTTTAGAGTTTAGGACTCAAGGTAGCCCAGATTAGTATTCGGGTCTTAGGAGAGTTTTCGGGTTTAGGGTTTCAGGGTTCGGGGTGTAGGGTACGTAACCCTAAACCCTAAACCCTAAACCCTAAACCCTAAACCCTGAACCCTAAACCCTAAACCCTAAACCCTAAACCCTAAACCCTAAACCCTAGCCCTAAACCCTAAACTCTAAACCGTCAGATCTGGCGGCAGGTCCCCAGGGCCCCCGCTCGCTGTACTCAATTTCGTCGTCGTTGTCCGTGTCCAGGGAGCTAAACAGGGCCTCCCGGTCCAGGCTTTGGGGTTTTAGAGTTTAGGGTTTAGGGTTTTAAGCTTAGGGTTTAGGGTTTAGAGTTTAGGGTTTTGAGTTTAGGGTTTAGAGTTGAGGGTTTAGCGTTTTAGGTTTAGGGTCTTAGGGTCTCAGGGTTTTGGGTTCTAGGATCTTAGGATCAAAGGGTTTGGGTTGCGTTGGTACCGGTTTTAGACATCATACTCCCAATTGCGGAATTTACGGGCCAGGAAATGACAAGCCAGTTGGGGTGCTTGGAGGTTCATGGGTACTCATAGCAACTCCAGATATAAGAACACTTATAACCTACTTCGGGGGGCGGGGCTTATAAGTACAGTCATAACTGGGGTTTAAACCCTAAACCCTAAACCCTGACCCCTAAACCTTAAACCCTAAACCCTAAACCCTAAACCGTCCGTACCATGCCCCTGAAACCTACATGCCAACCCAGAACAGCCCTGGGCAACACACCCTGACACGTCACTGGGGTGCCTCGGCTTCTGCGGAGTCCACATGAAAGTGTTCCTCCGGCTTGGGTTGAAGGTTTGAAGGGCTCCGGGGCTCAACAATGGGCTTAGGGGACTGAGTCCGACATTGAAATTCGCATGTTCCCGATTATCTCTTCACAGAACTCAATATTCGTACTCAGGGCTCTTTTAAGTGAGAAGAAGACCCCGCAATGATGGAGTGTTTATCCCGCGTAAAATGAAATAAGAAAAAAAGTACACGGGAAAAGGTCGAAAGGCCACCAGATACGGACCAGCCCCGACTGCGCGGCGCCTCACTGCGAACACAGGCCACCAAGGGTTTAGGGTTTAGGGTTTAGGGTTTAGGGTTTAGGGTACGTGAGATCTCGTACTTCTCCTGCACAGGCAGCAAGCTTGCCTCCTGCAGATCTTGGGGCACGAGGCCCCAATGCACGATCGCACTGCAGGCATACGAAGTCCTGCCTTTGCTTGCCTGGTACGTCAGGCGGCAGACCACAAAGGACTGCACGCGAAGGTAAACTCCTTTCAGCTTTGCCGGTGCTGCAGCGAGCAGATTCTCCACTCGTCCCCAACAGCCTGAGCTGCAGCAGCCTCTGCGTTCATCAAGAGAAATCTTCCGTCGCCTGCCAACGCCCGGGGGCATCCCAAGAAGCGGATGAGCAGCACCTGCATCAACCTTGGCGAGAAGGCCCGCTTGCCGTCCAGCCACGTACTGCACAAGGAGCACATCACCCTGCTGTCCTGCTATACTAACTATGCTTAAGGGTTTAGGGCTTCTAAGGCTTAGGAGATGGCACAAAGAAGATATTAATATAGTACCATCAAAATCCCTACTAACTATGCTTTAGGGCCTTAGGGCTTCTAAGGCTTAGGAGATGGCACAAAGAAGATGTAGTACTTGAAGCCTCACATAATCAATTTCTGCCACCAAAATCAGCGGGGTTTGGGGAGAGGGGGGGGGGGTTCCTAAACCCCTAAAGTCGACCTCCAGAGCCCCCAAGCCCAGGGGTTAGGGGTTAGGGTTTGGGGTCTAGGGTCTAGGGTCTAGGGTCTAGGGTCTAGGGTTTAGGGTTTAGGGTTTAGGGTTTAGGGTCTGCTGTGAAGGAAAGACCCTTGTACGACTGCAGGCTCAAGGTGTCCCCTACGCGATTTAGGGACCTGCCAAAGCCCCTGAACCCCAAAGGTTTGGGATTTAGGCTTTAGGGTTTAGGGTTTAGGGTTTGGAGTTTAGGGTTTGGGCTAACCCCCTCAGAAGGTCCTCCAAGACGGCCTTCATCTCCAGCAGCGTGATGGTGCCTTCCCCGGAAAGACTTTGGGGCTGGGCCAAATTCTGACTCGAAAGCATCCACAAAATACTACTCGAGAGACCCCCAAGTATCCGGCGGATGGTATAGGCCGCCCTCCATGTAAGGCCTTATCTAGTCATGGATCGTTGACAGCTCTAGGAACTTAGGGAAAAAGCCCTAAACCCGAAAGCCCTCAAACCCTAAACCCTGAACCCTAAACCCTGAACCCCATACCTAAAGCTGGGCCCAGGATGAGTAGTGACTGGGGCGTCAGGCACGGGGTTTAGTCAGGCTTTTGGTGCTGTAAGGGTTTCCGCATGCCCGAATAGCTAGCGCAAGCGGCAAGCAAGCTGGCTGTCTCACAGAGATCCTGACTGAACCAGGGTTTAGGGTTTAGGGTTAAAAGGTTTGCTGCGCAACCTGCGTGCACACGCTGTCGGCCTCGCTTCTCGCGATCCATCGCCAGGAACTGCTCGTGGAGCAAATTTCGATCCTGTTGGGAGGCCGAGAGTGACGTGCCTAGAGTTTAGGGAGGGTTATATAAGGGTTTAGGGTTAAGGGGTTTAGGGCCTAGGGTTCAGGGTTTTGGGGCAGCTAGGGTTAAGGGTTCAGGGCGGCAATCGCAACCCCCTCCCCTATGAAAACTGATCTGGCAGTAGACTCACAGCACAATCTTTCTCAAAGATGATTAGGGTTTAGGGTTTAGGGTTTAGGGTTCAGGGTTAAACCGTTTAAACCCTAAACCCCAAACCCTAACAGACTGAGGCTTCACATCTTTCGCCTCTACTCCAAGAGCAAAACGAACTTCACCAGCGACACTGGTTCATGGTTGGGATAATATGAAAAAATGAATGTTTATTCCTTATTGAAAAATGAATGTTTATTCCTTATTGGGTTTTAAAAATACATGATGATTCCTTAGTTGGGTCCCTAAACCCTACACCCTAAACCTAAACCCTAAACCCTAAACCCTAAACCCTAAACCCTAATTAAACCCTAAACCCTAAACCCTAAACCCTAAACCCTTAAGAATGTAAAACGGTACCCAACTATGACAAAGACCATGGAAGGACTGCTCTTCTTGACGATGCGCTTCCGGGGCTTGAGGCTCGCCGCAGCCTTCCGGCCCCCACACGCAAGGGTTTAGGGTTTAGGGTTTAGGGTTTAGGGTTTACCCCAGCACCTCGGTGAGCGGTGTGGCGCTGGCGGAGACGACTTGCAGCCCCTGGTTGGGCGAGAGCAGGTCCGCTGCCATCAAAGCTCCCTTCAGCCTGCTTCGCCGGCGACCGTGATGTTGTCGTGTCCTAAACCCTAAGCCCTAAACCCTAAACCCTACACCCTAAACCCTAGCCCCAGCCATCGACCTGAATGGCTGGGTTACCTGGCGAAGATGTCCCAATACGCATACAGGCATGAGTATAAACATGCAAGCCCGGTGCAGAAGGAGGGGGCCGGGGGCCGAGGGAGGGCAGAAGCCTTTAGGGTTTAGGGTTTAGGGTTAATTCTGAGAACCTTAGGGTGAAGGGCTTTAGAGAGTTCAGGCCTCAGACCCAAAACCCTAAACCCTAGACCCTACAGCCCCTGTAAAGTTCAATTTCTCAACAGTCAAAAAGAGCTCCTCGAAACCTTGCTCGCAACTCCAACAGTCAAAATACAAACCTTAACTCCTCAAAACTTTCACCGAACCTGAAGCCTTCATCATTTCAACCTTCAAAAGAAATCCTCGAAACTCTCTGCGAAATTCCTCGACACTTTCCTGAAAATTTCCCCGGGATCAGAACCCCTTACAAGCATTTTTAACAATAAACCCGAAAACCCTAAACCCCAAACCCTAAACCTGAAAACCCTAAACCCTAAACCCTATAATCCCTAACCTCAAACCCTGCCTCGTTGCTCAGCGACAGCGCCACCGTCGAGAGCAAAGCACGGCGGAAGGCGCTTGCCCGGGCCTGCACCACGAGGCTTACGGCTTAATTCGGGTTCAGGTTCAGGGAGTTTCGGGAACCCTAAAGCCTAACCGCTAAACCCTAAACCCGTTACAGGGTTTAGGGTTTGAGTTTGGGGCTTAGCGTTTTCGGGTTTGGATCGTGAAGAACCCCCCCCCCAAACACAGGGTTTAGGGGGTATAGGGTATAGGGTTTAGGGTTTAGGGTCTTCACCCCCCACCCCCCTCGGGCACGGTTTTGTAGGTTTTTCTTAGGACCCTAAACCCGCCGAGATCCTAAACCCTCGAAACGCTAGAAACCCTATGAGTCCTGTGAACCCTGTAAGCCCTATAAACCCTAGAAATCCTAGAAGCCCTGGAAACCCTATGAACCCTATGAACCCCTGTGAACTCTATGAATCCTAACGATGAACCCTATGAACTCTATGAACCCTAAACCCTAAAGCCCAACCCAAAGGGTCCATGTACCTATATAGCACATACTTGGGCCTTAAAAGGGGTCCCGATGTAGTAGTTTTAGGGCTACATGGACCCTTAGGTCAACGGCCCTACGAGCCCAAACATGTGAATTCAGGTTTACGGGTCTCCCCCCTAAAGACCGCAAGCTGTAAAGACCTGAGGAGCCGAAAGCCTCCAAAGATTCCGACCCTTAAATTGGGTTTATAGTGTTTAGGGTTTGCAGGGCTTAGGGATTAGACTAAAAAACCCTAAACCCAAAACTTGCCCTAAACCCTAAACCCTAAACCCAAAAAACCCAAAACCCTAAACCTTACATGGTTTAGGGATCATGTGCAACTCGCAGCCCTGAGCGGCTTCTGGGCGCCAGGCAAATTTCCGGAGGCTGCGGAGAATGCTCAGGTCGAGGAAGCGTTCCTCCAAGCAGAAAGGTTGAGGGTTTAGAGCTTAGGGGTGTACCTAAACCCTAAACCCTAACAAGGGTTTCGGCTAAGGGTTTCGGTTTCGAGGCTGAGGATTTAGGGTTTCGGGTCATGACTTTAGAGGTTTTCTTCTACGGGCTTGGGAGGGAGGTAGAGTGGATGCGGGCTTAGGGCCTTCGGTAACCCTGAACTCTATCGGGAATAAATTACATGTCTACAAATATATTAGCCATGTATATATATATATATCTACAAACAACCCTGACCCTAAATCCGAAACCTTATGGTGGCACTAATGTCACCCACAACCCTGACCCTGAACCCCCTGCACCTCTAGGTTGCCCAGTAACCTAGGAGTAAAAAGGGTGCCCTTTTTTGCTTTAACCCCCAAAAAGGGAATAAGGGCACTACTGGGCATCCTAGACCTTAAAACCCAAATCCCCAAAGAGGCTTGAAGCATGGCAGCCCGCCTCTTTGCAGGACTTGGCGCGCACGAAGGGATGCTCCAACCTCGGCAATGGGTTTGGAGCTTCCAAACGACGGTTTAGGGTTTAGGGTTTAGGGTTTAGGGTTTGGGGACAACGAACGACTTTGCACCCCAATATCGATCTTTATGGGTGGTTGTCAAAATTATGGTCCCTTTCTGGATCCCCATTATAATACGGCACCTAATATTTAGGGTACCCAAAAAGGGACCATAATTTTGACAACCACCCATATGTCCATATGCATATGGGCAAATTTTCACTCCGTAATCATACTTCAACTCATGTCCAAGGTGCAAAGCCTGCTCACTTAAACAATGGGTTTAGGGTTTAGGGTTTAGGGTTTAGGGTTTAGGGTTTAGGGTTTAGGGTTTAGGGTTTAGGGTTGCAAGTAAACCCTAAGCCCCAAACCTAAACTCTGTGAACCCCGCGCGCCTCGCTTTTGTCCACGTGAAAGCGATGTGTGAGAAAGCTTCTCTCTCGATGCAAGCGGCTTCTTCTCGAGGTGTTCTAGGGGTTTGGGGTTTAGGGTTCGGGGTTTAGGGTTTCCAAGGGATCAGGGTTTGGGGTTCAAATGTGGTTGGTTATTTCTGGTTGGAATAGGGTGTATTTCTGTTCAGACCCCAATCCCCAAACCCTCAGCCACCCAGTAGCCATACTGCAAGAAAGGTACCCGTTCTGGTTGTAAGTACTCTTTACGTAGGAAGCCGCAACCCAACAAGTGCAAATTGGGTACCGCTGGGCTACCAAGCCCACAGACATGTTCGACCCTAAACCCTAAACCCTAAACCCTAAACCCTAAACCCTAAACCCTAAACCCTAAACCCTAAACCCTAAACCCAAATGCCTCAGGAGCCGGTGGCTCGGCGAGCTGTTCCGACCTGGATGGTTCGCAAAAACTTCTCTTGGGAGCTCCGGCAATACTAGACCCGGGAGTAACCCTAAACCCTAAACCCTAAACCCTAAACCCGAAACCCGAAACCCTAAACCCTAAACCCTAAGAACAAGAAAAGGGTACCCTTTTTGGTTTTTAGGGGATTATAAGGGAACCCCAACCCTAAAACAAAAGGAAAAAAGGCCTACTCCCGGTCCTAGAATATGGATTGCAGCATCTTGGGGCCAACCTGGTCGCCCTAAACCCTAAACCCTAAACCCTAAACCCCCAAACCTTAAACCCCCAAAACCCCCAAAACCCCCAAAACCCCCAAACCCCCAAACCCCCAAACTCTAAACCCCAAAAGGCTGAAAAACCCTAAACCCTCAGCCCTAAACCCTAAACCCCAAGCCCCCAAACCCTAAACCCTAAACCCTAAAGCCCTAACCCCATTTTTGGGAAACTGCCGACCTGGATGTGCGACCCGCCGCGCGGCTGGTCCGGGAAGGCCGGGCAAGGGCCGAGCCAGAGGTAGAGACCGCCTGGAACATGGCTCGGGTTCTTTAGAACTTTGGATTCAGAATTTGGTTTAGGGTTTAAGGTTTAGGGTTTTTAGGGTTTAGGGTTTGGGTTTTAGGGTTTCGAGTTGAGGGTTTAGGGTTTAGGGCCTAGAGCTTTCGTTTCTTGCGGAGAGGGGGGGGGGGGGGGGGTGGCATAGAGGAGCTTGAAATACGCATGCTGAAAGTTTAGGGTTTCTTGGGTTTTGGGTTTTGGGTTTAGGGTTTAGGGTTTAGGGATATCAAATCCAACACCTGAAATCCCCCCCGTGCCTACCCACTGCTCCTGCAGTCGATCGAAGGGAATGTCGGTCACCTGGCGTTTGCACCCAACAGCCTCCCGAAACCCGAAACCCTAACCCCTAACCCCTAAACCGTAAACCCTAAACCCTAAACCCTAAACCCTAAACCCTCAACCCTAAACCCCATAGCCAAACTCCAAGCCCTAAGCGCCTGTAGCTTTGCCTGGTCAGCGACTTGACTTCCCTTAAAAGATCCCAGAGCCATGAATCCCAAGCCCTAGAATTGTTTCAAGCATCAGGCTCGCTCTCTCTCTCTCTCTTTCTTTCTCTCTCTCTCTCTCTCTCTCTCTCTCTCTCTCTACAAGGCGGTAAAGGACTAGGGTTTGCAAGGTTTAGAGTTTAGGGTTTAGGGCACATTCCAGAACCCTCAACTCAGCACACCGAGTCGGGTGGCGAAGCCCGAGCGTGCGTGCGGGCCCATGGCCGCGGAGGGCGGTCCCCCGTCCTTGGCCCGGGGCGGGGGGGTCAGGGTTGAGGGTTTAAGGTTTAGGGTCTAGGGTGAGGGTTCAGGGTTGAGGGTTTAGGGTTTAGCGTTTGATGGGCATATGGTTGATTAGGCCTTGCCTGAATCCCCGAAATATGCAAAACCCCCTCCCGCCATTCAAAATGTAAAATGACACCCCTTGGTTGGCTTTGGGCAAGCCGCTTGGTTCGCGGGTCTAGAGCGCTTGGGCTTGCAGATGTTGGCAGAGGAGTTTGGGGTCTAGGACGTGGTTTAGGGATTGGGGGTTCATAGGGTTTATGCCCCCAAACCCTAAACCCTAAACCCTTAAACCCTTAACCCCAAACCCCAAACCCTAAACCCTAAACCCCCAAACCCCAGACCCCAGACCCCAAACCCTAAACCCTAAACCCCCACACCCCAGACCCCAAACCCTAAACCCCTAAACCCCCAAACCCCACACCCCAAACCCTAGACCCCCAATGCCTCAAAGGAGCGTGACCTGGCCCAACGTTGAGCACCGGATCTGCCGAGCACCTCGGGCAGGGTTTTGGGGGTTTAGGGTTTAGGGTTTGGGGTTTAGGGTTCAGGGTTTGGGGGGTTTAGGGTTTAGGGTTCTCTGTCTGATGAGGGGAGGGGAGGGGTGGGGCCCGGGGGGGGGGGGG